CACCAGGGCACGAGATTGTGGGGCGCGGGTGTGGGCTGGGTGCTGGGGGCCAGGCCGGCCACCAGGGCACCAGATTGTGGGGCACGGGTGTGGGCTGGCTGCCGGGGACATCAGCTCCACAGGGCTGCCTACACACCTGCAAGCACATGGCTCCAGCCAGGGAAATGAGGCCCGAACCCTCTCGCCGGCGGGTCCGCGTGACTTCCACATCCTTCTGTGTCTGCAGCACCTCCGTCACCACGTACACGTTGTCCCCTCGGTGCCGGAGCTGCTGCAGGATTCCGTGCTCCGGCTGCCGCAGGCGCCTGTGACCCCAGAAGCAGGAAGCTCACTGGGCCGCAGCCCCCAAAGACACCTTCCCTCCCGAGACCACCCCATGCCACTGGGGGAGGTGGCGCAGAGGGCGCCTCCAGGCTCTGTGGATGCCTGGGCACCAGCAGCCTCTGCATGGTGGACCCTCTCTCCATGGGGACGGGGTCCTGTGAGGGGAGGAGCCCCTCACCTGGCCCCCACGAACACACCACCGCTTGTCCTCACAGCAGCCTGGGGCTCAGTCTGGTCCTTAGGATCAGTCCTGATGGCCGAGGCCTCCAGTGACCCCTGCAGCTTCCTTCCCAAAACCCGCTGCCGGCCACAGCACTCCCTTGCCTCTGCGACTTTCCTGATGCCCCAAAGTGGTGACCTTCCCAAGAGCAAGTCTGGGACTGAGCACTGTGGCTTACCCCTGTGATCCCAGCACTTTGGGAGGTTGAGGCAGGAGGACTGCTTGAGGCCAGGAGTTCAGGACCACCCTGGCCAAGAGAGTGAGAGCTCACCTCAAAAAATAATTAAAAAAAATAATAAAAGCAGGGTTGCTTGGGGTCAGTGGGGCCCTGCCCTCTCCAGGCCCACCTCTCCTGGAGCAGGGCCTGCCAGGTGTTCGGGCCCACGCTCAGCGAGAACACGTTCAGCGAGGTGCTGGAGCTGTCAGACACCAAGACCCTGCCTGCGACCTTCCCCTGTCCTGTGGCTGCCACCTCCATGCTAGTCCGTAGCTGCCCGTCCACAGTGTCACGGATGTGGAAGGGGCCACCATGCTGCAAAACTAAAGCAAGGCCAGACCTGAGGCCCTGCCCACCTGCCTCACCCCTCCCGCCCCACCCCTTCTGCCGTGTCCCACTCCCAAGGCAGCAGGACCTTTGGAGAGGCCCTGCCCTCTGGAAGAGGGGCCCAGAGCTAGAGCCTGCAGAGCAGGGTGGGTGGCTGGCCAGACGCACCCTGCTTCCCCTCCCCCACCCAGCCTCCCTAGGGCTCTGCCTCAGCACCCCATCAGGTACCTGGTTCCGGGGCATCAGGCTCCAGAATGTCCTTGATTGACAGGTTGACATGCTTATAGCGGGGTTTCCAGAACCAAGAGCTTGCGGGCTTCCTGACCAGCAGGCAGTAGGGCTTGAAGCCCGTGGAGCTCTGCAGGCTGGTCACAGGGATGAGGTCCCCACCGTGGTCCAGCTCCTGGATCACTCTCCGAACCAGCCACTCAAAGGCCGACCCCATGTTCCTGAGGAGGGGAAATGGGTCAGGCATTGTGCCCTCAGGGATAGAAGAGCAGGAGGGGGTGGGAGCAGCATCAGCACTTGGATGCTTCCAATGATGGGAAACTCCTTCCCTTGAGAGCAGCCCCGCCCAGCTCATCCTGGGATGTTCCTACCAGCAGAAATCGCCTGTCCCTGGCCACTCCCCAACACAGAAATACAGTGTCCACCCTGTTGTCGTTGGGGCCATGAGTACCTCCAGCCCGGGGCAGTAGGGCCTGATGCCCAGACCCGCTCTGACACACAGAGGGTTCTGTCCGTCCACTAGAATGGCTGCCTCTGGCAGGGAGGAAACAGAAGCTGTCACCTCCTGAGCATGGCACAGGGACCCACTGCAAAACCCAGCCAGAGTCTCACCCCACCCCAGCTGTGTCCTCCAGGGCCTTCTCTGTGCCTGGAGCTCCATGAGCCACCTGTCCAAGGCTGAGGTTTCCGGAGTCAGAGGCCACAGCGGAGGGCCCGCGGCCGCCCCAGGAAGCCTCGCCTCTGAGCGCGGGACCTGCCCAAAGTGCAGGCCGGGCCAAGAGGCAGCTGGGGGCGGAACCAGCACCGGCCCAGGCATCTGGATGGCCCACCCGGTCCTGGTCCAAGGGCGGGGCCTCGGGGATGGCCAAGGGCAGCCTTCCCCAAGCCTAGGCTTCCCCCCCGGGTGGGGCTCGGGGCTCTCCGGGCGCGCGCTGGGACCCTCAGGGGCGCAGCAGGACCAGCACCTCCGGCCCGGGAGCGCCGGCGGCACCGGGGGAGGTGGGGGGCAGCTCACCGCGACCGTGGGCGCCCCGGGGGTGGGGCGTCTGCTCGCCTGGGAGCCGTCGGAAGAGGGGGAGCCGGAGGTGCCCAGAACCAAAAGTGAAACTGCGGCCGCCTTAGGGCCCGCCCAGGAGGCCCTCCAAGACCCGCCCCGGGAGCCCGCCGGGGCCCCCTCCCGCCGCCTCTTCCCGGCAGCCCGCCGGGAGCACCAGCCTCTCGCGTCCTGGCCCCGCGTCCCGATAGCCTCAAACTTCATAGCACTTTGTGGTTTTTCTTAAAAACTGGTCGGGCGCGGTGGCTCATGCCTGTCATCCCAGCACTTGGGGAGGCCGAGGCAGGCGGATCACAACGTCAGGAGTTCGAGACCAGCCTGGCCAACGTGGTGAAACCCCGTCTCTACTAAAAATACAAAAAAAATTAGCTGGGCATGGTGGCGCACATCTGTAATCCCAGCTACTCAGGAGGCTGAGGCAGGAGAATCGCCTGAACCCGGGAGGCGGAGGTTGCAGTGAGCTGAGATCACACCACTGCACTCCAGCCTGGGGGACAGAGCGAGAAAAAAGAAAAAAAAAAAAATTAGCTGGGTGCGGTGATGGGCGCCTGTAGTCCCAGCTACTTGGGAGGCTGAGGCAGACAATTGCCTGGGCCCTGGAGGTGGAGGTAACAGTGAACTGACATCGCACCACTGCGCTCCAGGTACCAGGTACCTGGTTCCGGGGCATTGGGCTCCAGAATGTCCTTGATTGACAGGTTGGCATGCTTATAGCGGGGTTTCCAGAACCATGAGCTGGGCGACAGAGCAACACTCCGTCTCAAAAAAAACCAACAAACAGAAACTCTGGGCCTGGGCCAAAGGGTCACAAAATGTGGAAATTGCCACAAGCAAATGCAAAGAGGCTCAACATCCTTAGTCATCAAGAAAACCAAATTGAATCCACCGAGAGATACTGCACGCCCACCAGGATGGCCGTGGAGTCACCGGAACCCTTGTGCAATGTTGGTGGGAATGTCAACCCGTGCGGCCCTCTGGAATAAGCCTGGCAGCTTCTCCAACAGTCTCCGTGTGACCCAGCAATTCCACTCGTTAGCTCTACCCGTATGGAAAGCAGGGACTCAAACACATACCTGTGCACCAAAGTTTGCAGCAGCATCCCTTGCCATAGCGGAAAGGTGGAAGCCCTGTCCATCCACCGAGGCATGCTTAGACCAGATGTGGGAGTCCAGGCACTGCAATGCAGGCCGTGGAATGGTGCCCGCGGTCCAAAGGAAGGAGGCCCTGGCATACCGGACGACACAGATGGACCTCGGAGACATTGTGCTAAGTGAAAAGTCAGACACAAGCAGCACACGGAGTGACTCTGCTCACGTGACGCATCCAGGGTGGGCACGTCCAGGGGGCAGAAGGGAGATGGGGCTGCCAGCGTCTGGGGGAGGGGGTGGGAGTGACTGCTGCTGGTTTGGTTTCTTTCTGGGGTGAGGAAACGTTTAGATACTGACTGTGGTGACGTTTGCATACCTCTGAATATGCTAAAACCCACAGGATTGCACACTTAAATGAATGAATTATATGATATGGGAATTATATAATTATGTCTTAATAAAGCCATTATTTTAAAAACCTGGCTGGGGGTGGTGGCCGACGCCTGTAATCCCAGCACTTTGGGAGGCCAAGGCAGGCAGATCACGAGGTCAAGAGATGGAGACTATCCTGGCCAACGTGGTGAAACCCTGTCTCTACTAACAATACAAAAATTAGCTGGGTGTGGTGCTGCATGCCTGTAGTCCCAGCTACTCAGGAGGCTGAGGCAGGAGAATCTCTTGAACCCGGGAGGCAGAAATTGCAGTGAGCCGAGATTGCCCCACTGCACTCCAGCCTGGGCAACAGAGTGAGACTCTGGTTCAAAAAAAAAAGTAAGGAAGGCCGGGCGTGGTGGCTCACACCTGTAATCCCAGCACTTTGGGAGGCCGAGGTGGGTGGATCACGAGGTCAAGAGATCGGGACCATCCTGGTCAACATGGTGAAACCCCGTCTCTACT